ATGTCTGCCAATAGGTGCAAAGGTCCCTGCTAAGAATACCTGAAATTGGAGCCGGTGATGGTGAGTCTGGTGCCTCCTGCAGTTCCTCCTCTCCGTGGAGACACCCCCGTAATTACAGGTGTCAGGGAGGTTTTGTAAGAGAAGCCATTTGATATGTTCACTGCTTTGTTGCTATTGAGAACCACTACAGGGCAATCCTGTTGTGCTCCAGTTCCTGTTAATTACAGGCCAGGAAAAGGTATTGTGTTAAGGGTCTAAAGCAGTACAGTGACTACCAACACAGGTTATTACAGATACAGCCTTTGGCCCAGGTTGGGAAAGGTGGTTTCAGATCTCAACTGGTTTCTCCATGGTGAAGTCTCAACACACGCCGCAGAGATTAACGTTCAGCACGTTCGTATGGTCTTACTGACAGCAGGCTGCAATCAGAGTAAGGCTTACCCATTGTTGATTAGGTAGTGTATGTCAGGACATGTCAATGTTAATGTCAGAAAACAGCTCATGAGAAAAAAATAAGTTGCATCAGTAGAGGGCTTAGCTTTGCAATTTGCTAAACAGGTTTTTTTGGCTACTCCTTTGCTGTAGGTAGCGTATTGTTTAAGATACTTTCCTTGCGATATTTTAATGCATTATTCAATTAATGATTACTTGTTTAAAATTATCTTATTAAATGTACTGCTGAACTTTAACTAAATGTCAGTATGGTAATGTCTGCTCGTAACCATGCTGGTTGCATTTAATTAATGACACAACAACAAAATAACTTCTTTCACTGCGGTACCCAAACTACTGACAGTGCTCGGTATACAAAACACAATCTGTTGGTTACAGTGTGGAGGTAAGATAAGTCTCACAGGTTAGAATAATTGAGGTTGTACATCACTTCAACTAGCCTGAAGCTGTTTGCAGAGGAGACTAAAAGGCACAAAAACTGTTTTTATCAGTTTAAAATGTGACTTAGATCCCATTATAGACTCACCTGGCCCTTCCAATTTTTTTCCAATCTTATTATTCATTTATTTGTGAGCTTATAAGGTGTTAAAGAAACTATAATTGACTTGAGGGGAATAATTGCTTCTTAGGAGCAGAATCTTGGCCAGACTTTGAATTGTTATTTTTCAAGAGCTGTTCACTACAGACCTACCATTATTGGGTGGAACTTCGCAGTAAAGGCTGCTGAAAGTTGAATTCTGCCTCAGTATCTCACAGTCCTTGTTGCAGATCAGCACTCTCGAATGCGCTGGATCAAATCCGGAACCTTGTACAGTCAGAATGGAACCTCCACCATAGCTTCCTGTACACGCATCACAGAAACAACCAGCGATTTAGAAAGGATACTGAATAACTTTCAAACATAAATCATCTTGGCAGCAAGTGTTTTTGTGAAGCCAACAGTTAGAAAATGAATTTTCCACTTGACAAAAAAAAATGTAGCAGTAGTTTGTTTATGTCATAGACTTTGTCTCTCCACTACAGTTGATGCAGGAGGGTTTAAAGTACCTTCATTTGGAGTCACTCCAGTGAGCAGCAGCTCATATGTGAAGAAAGCTTGTGAAGCAGCAAAGCCCTTTAAGCCATGGAGGAGATTAACTAGAAAAGTGCCCCCAGCGTGGTTTCCCACAGAGCACAGAATCTGGGTATCAGTTACTGCTGAGACATTGCAGGGTACACCGTCTATGGTCACAGAGATGGGCTGAAGATCCGTGCCGAATCCTGACCCTGTAATGGTGATTTCTGTTCCGCTGGGACCTGCGAATATAAACATTCCAAAGCATCTTTCAAACGCTTTCCAGGACAATTTCACAAAGTCCAACAGTACTGAATCTACAATATCAACTGAATCCATAGAATAAGGCACAATTTAAAGTTAGATTTATGCTTAGAATAGCTTGGTCAGTGCTTTGATTTAGTCTTTTCTTGTCATAAGAATAATGAAAGGATCTTTCTGGATTTTTTCTTTAACCATCAAGTGCATTATTTAACTTCTGCTCAGGATCAGATTTTCCCATACACAGGGTTTCTGAAGTGTATAATTTAATATATATATATAATATCTGTTTGTGTTAAAACACATTTAAATGAGTCACATTCAATCTGACACAAGGCTTTTACATAGTGTGCGTCATCTCAAATGTCTTTAAAGACCTTCTAAATGTAAAACACTTCACAATCAAAGTTTGCACATTTCTCAGTGTCATTGGAAAATAATGCTCTTTCCCCAGTGCAAGCAATTTTGAATGGGCTAACAAGAGGTGAATGAAATAAGATCTCTCTGCTTTCACTCGTTAAGGTTTTATTCATGTACCTGTCTGAGGACTCACTGCAGTGATCCTTGGAGTATCTGACTGGGAGTACACAAAGCGCAGAGCAGGGTAGCTGACCGAGAGGACTTGAATATTCACTATGGTGTTCCCTT